AAGCAAACTGCGTCATCTTCCTCCCGCACAATTACTAATGATAATCAGGTAGGCATTGAGAATACACAGAAAATGTCCACACATGATTACAAAGACTGGGCTGGTGGGTACAAACCACCAAACTTTTGGTTAGTAGCCTAGCACTTAACTATTGTACCCCCAAGGGCTCCTCGAACCTCTTATAGAGGTCTCAGGTGACTCCTGAAGGAACTGGGTCAGTGAAGGCTCCTTTCAGCAGTTGGCAAAGCACAGAAAGACTGACTCTGACTGTGCCACTCCCCCACAGACTCCCTTCCTCTCATCGGACAACATGCAGGCTACCTCTCGGCCCAGCCCTTTACTGACGGGCAAGCAAACACCTCAACATCACCCATGTTTGTTTTTTTTAAATGAAGAAACATTCAGATTTCCTTCATGGTTTACAGCCTTCATACAGTGTTTAGATGAACAAACTACATCCTCATGTTACAGACTTAAAAATTCACTGAGTCACAGGTGATGAAGACAACGTGTAAGAAAGTTTCTAAAAAGAAGCACCAAATAAACTGTGGTCAATGACATGAGACAAAGTATATGTGAACTGCTGTATGGAAAGTGAATTTGCTCTGTAAATGTTCACCCAAATCACAATTTAAAAAAAAGAAAAAAGAAAAACCCAAACTCACTGCTGTCAAGTCAGATGCAACTCACAGCGACCCCTCCTTGGGTTGCCGAGGCGGTACCTCTACATGGATTGCCCAGTCTTCCTTCCCAGCCAGCCTTCTGGTTAGCAGTCAAATGCCTTAGGCACGACACCACCATCCAGGTTCAAAGCTTCGACCTTGGCGAGCGGGGTCACTCACCGGATCCCTTGCCCTCCCAGCCCTGGCATTCCTCAGCTGCAGTCCAGAGTAGAGTTTACTCTTTATTGAGCCTTTACTACAGGGGACACACTTACTTTGCACTGTGGACACAACGCTCAAGAACCAAAGTCCCCAAGCTCACAAAGCGTGTATGTAAGTTGGGAAAACAAATAATGGACGAGACAAGAGATAATGAAGTCAGGCGAGGTGACAGAGTGACAGGGACTGAGGAAAGCGTCTCTGAAGAGGCGACATTTAAGCTGAGCTCTGAGAAGGGAGGGAAAGAGAACTCTAAGCAGAAGGAGCAGCAAACGCAAGGCCGTGCGGTGAGGCCCTGAACCGTCCACATACTGCGCAGGCACGGTTCCCACAAGGGGCCAGTGCCCGCAGTGCAGTGTGGCGCCGTGCTGTCATCCTCAGAAAACTTGCCCACTTCATCACGGAGGCTCCCAGCTCCCAGCTCCCTCACAGGCACACGGACTGAAGAAAACATCTCTATACGGGAAATCCTATCACAACTCTCCCTGTGTCGCTGTCCACTGGCTTTCCACACACCGGGGAGAACCAGGGCTGGGGCAGGTTCCTTTTGGGTCGGGGGGTGGACCCCCCGGCTCAGAAGTGGCATCTCACCTGCAAATTCTCTAAGGTCACCTGGGGATCTTGTTAATTCTGATCTTCCGTTGGGGGCAGAAATGCAAACCCTGGGCAGGGAATGAACTGGAATGAACTGGCTGTCTCTCTGTGCTCCGCGAGCCCTGGCTGCGCCGCACCTGCCTAGCTTCGGCCTCAGCCTGCTCCTCTGTCCTTGGAACATTCCAGCGCCATGGGCTTCGCCGGTGCTCCTCCTCACGCGGGGAGACAGTGCTTGGCAGGCTTCTCACGACCCTGCATGTCCTGGGACCCAGGGATGTGTCTACAGCCTAAGACCGCGTGTCCCCAGAGCAGAGGACAGGTAGGCTGGGGCCTGTGCATTATAAAGGACTCAGGAGCCCTACACCTGGAGTTTCTCTCCTGTAACAGAATTCAATGTCTACACAGACCCATCTGTTGTGGACTGAACTGTGTCCCCCAAATAAATGTGTTGCAAACTCTAAA